AGGCGCAAGCAAATTTGTGGCTGAGCATCTCTAGGGATTCCTTCCATGAATAAGCGGTCGCGTTCGGCCTTTCCAATACGGTCTTCATCCATAAGTGGCTGCATAACCTTCCTGAATGCGCGCAAGTAATTGCTTAGTTCAGTGCAAGAGGGCATTGGTTTGTTAGCGTATTCTCGCGCGATGGCGCGTAAGTCCGCGAGTGCATAGCGTCTCTTGCCATCCCATCCTGGATATATTACCTTCACCTCGTCTAAGAAGGCGTCGTAATCGCTTACTGCTGCTTCAGGCATGCCTCCCCATAGTTCTCAATCATCGCGTTCAAGGTAGCGAATAATACCTTTGATGCGGTCGAGTCCTTGGAGTCCTGCTTCATCAGCGAGCTGCTCATATGCGTCAATGAACTCGGCGAGGTTGTCTGTAGTGCCATCAAACTTGGGCGCGTTTGTCGTGCCACGGATGGGCATTCTATAAGGCATTGAAGCGCAAGAAAGGCGTGCGCGCGAGGCGCGAGAATGCGTGACTAAGGATGGTTAGCTTGTGAAAATGCAAAGAGATTGACCTATATGTGCTAAATGATGCTAGACGCGAAGATGCGCAGAACTAGATCTTGCTGACTGTTCCCCTCGCGGTGGGCTCCAGTTGAAGGTACAACAATTCAGATGGTGAGTCTGAACAATGTTGGGTCTTGCAGAACCTAGCTGCTATTCGACTTAAAGGGTTTCTGGACCAGGCTCAAGGCTCAGTGGAGAGGAAATGTCATAAAAACTGCTCAAGACTCAGACAGACTCATACTGGTAACTGGTGAAAAGATAACTTGATTATGTAAGCTACAAAAGTGCAAACATAACACTAAGGTAAAAACAGTCTCTGCAAGCCCAGCCAGAAATGAATCCCTACAGCGGGATGATAACAGAAGCTGCATTGTTCTGTTTTCTACTGACTATGCTGACATCAACTATGTGTGTCGGGGACGATGGGGGTTTTCGGGCGAAAGCATGCAGCGTTTTCCGGCCCTGAGGGATGACCTAGACTAATCAAGAGTTGAGCTGCAATTCCCAAGTGTTAGGAGATTGGCGACGCATCCAGCGAAACTCAGATTCCCAATTTTTAGGAGATGGACGGATTACTCACGAGGCGTTGTCTTGACTGGGTCTGGGTATTAGCAGACTGGAGGTATGGTGTACCTGAGGAATTGGTCATGCAGAGAGGGGACAGCTTGCATGTATGGCGCCATGATTTGCGCATGTCTTCGTAAGTATATGAGAAATGCGTCGCTTGCCCAATGACCTTTGACCTTGACTACGTTGAAAGGAACGTTCTGCAGGAGGTATTCCAGCATTGAACCTATGTGAATTCCGTGCCCTTGTAATGGTTCATGGCCTGCAGCTTTCGTCACTGCTGCTAACCTTCCCAGGAACTTTGTTTTGGTTAGCGGGCGATGGGTGTTATTCTTGTGGCTGTATGCGAAGAGCGCGAATTTTGGAGGGGGGTCATTGATTCTCAGGTGATTCAAAAACACTTCTTTGGGGTCGGATAGACCTGCTTGCTTTGCCCAATGCACGTCTTCTCCTTCTGGTGCCGACTTCATTCGTGGTAAGTGGAAGTTCTTGGTGGCGAGGTTCTGCCGATCTCGCGTGTCTTGGACGTCTTCGAGCTTGATGTGCAAGTTTGGATCGAAGGCGTTGAGACGTGGGACGGTGAATTCACCTACCCTGGCCGTCGCATAGAAAATGGTTGTGAGGCATGCAAATACTGCCGCATCTAGCGGCTCTTCGAGTTTGAGCTTCTCGCGGATGGCAATGATGAGGTCTATCATATAGGGTTCACATTTGTCACATTTTGCAGATGGGGGTGTGAGTGATACTGCTGCCTTCAACATTGCTTCGATCTCAATGTTGTTGAGTGACCAGGTTGCGCCGTGCACTATGTGCCAGGCGTGGACCCCGTTGACGTAGTTAGAGACTGTTTTCCCAGAGTAGTTGCCTACCATGCATGATATGAAAGTTTCGATTAGCATGTTGCTTGCCGGTGCTCTTTGTTCTTCAGGGATGGACTTGCTGTCGCAGAATACGTGAAATACAAGTAGGCCCGACCCGTAGGTCACGCGGGTGCTCTCTGAATATGCGTGGACCATGACGTCGCGGATGCGCTGGACGTCTTCGGCTGATAACGGTAGGATCTTTCCTTGGGTGTCGTTCGTGGAGCGTGCTGTCATTGGGTGCCAAAGATGGAGTCTATCTTTCGCCGGACAGTGTGGGCGCAGGTGGGATGGTATGGGGGTCAGGCTGGGACTATAGGCTGAGTTTGCCATGAGGTTAGTTGCTCATGCTTCGCGTCGTGGTACTTACTAGATTTCCGACGCTTGGAAGAGTTCTGTTCCTCTTGCTTTGAATGTGCGGTTGACGCGTGCTCTCTGTTCAAGCTCTTGCTCTCCGTGTTTCTCACCCATTGGGTGAAACGGTTCGTTGGAGGTGTAGCTCACTGTGGGGGTGCGTGCGTTAGGATTCGCGGGTGAGTTGTTTGCGCGATGAACTGGATGGGGGGGAGCTTCTGTGAGGAAGGGGAGGAGTTCTGGAGGGATTGGGATGGGAGGGAGCCGTTCAGATGCGGGGGGTATACTCCGCAAGATGGGCTGTCTGCAGGGTTCTCTTTGCTTGGTATGTACCTAGTAAGAACCCGGCATTTGGTACTGGCAACAATCCGATGAATCTGCTTGAAGACTTCGTTGCAGGCTTGGCTTTTGCTGCATCCCTTCCACCATCCTTCGACGATGCTGCGGTTGTCGCTGTAGACTTTGAAGTAAGTTCCGGGGGGCACACACTCATGATGGTCCACATGAGGAGTTCAAAACCGACGCTTTCTGCCCACCCAATGTCCTGGCCGTCTTTCTTCCAATCTGGTGAGAGTTTCCATGTGTGCCATCTTCCGTTGATGAAGATGCCAGCACCGTGGCCAGAGCTAGCGTCTGAGTAGGCAAGAAAATCCCAGATGATGCAGGGACCTGGGATTGGGGAGACGACATGGGAGGAGTCAAGAACCTTTTCCCACCATCTAATGTCGCTTGCTGTGCTTCGTGGTGGGGTCCTAGCCATGTGTGGGCAGTCTCCGAAAATACCCAGCATCCTTTCCAGGGTCATGAGGTATGTGTGACCTGCCAGTTTGATGAGGCACGCATGTAGGAGTCTGCCGTAAAGTTTCTGGACTTCTTGGAGCGTGTGGGTTCTGCTCATTTGCCATGCTTTGACCGCTTCAAGGTACTTGATGTGTTTCCCTTCGGATAGAGCCACTGTCTTCCCGGCGATGTCCCAATCCAAGCCATTGTATGGGGGCTCATTGCTAAAGAGTTTGTCTTTCGACAACTCCCATATGATGCCCATGGTGGATGAGGCGTCGTCAATGTCTGCCATGCAGTATGTGAACTGCGCGTCTTCAATGGTTCGTGGCGTCCGCGCTGATAGGTCTTGGATGGGGAAACGAGCGTCTTCGTCGAATTCCTCCATTGACCCATCTGGTAAGGTCTCTCCTTTGTACCACTTGCATCCCCCTTCTGTGATAACTCCTCCATTCTCCGTGATCTTGTCAGCCCATCTTCGGCGTTGTCTATTATATTCTTCCATGTATATTTTCTTGATGCCAAAAAATAGGTGGTTGTCGACCCATTTCGACAGGGGTCCGATTCCTTTGGATCTGAATATGTCTGTGCCTGTGTCAGCGATGTTACCGTATATTCCGGCTGATGGGCTGAATCCGAAACAAAAGGAGGTATCGACTGCGAATGTGACCTCGTCGAGTCGTATCGCCAGTCCTGGCCATTGTGAATGGTGCAATGGGATTGTCCTGTATGCCTCCGCGATGTCGCGTATGGCGCCTTGTGAACCGGGTGGGAGGTGCCATATCGTTTTACAGATGGTTGGGAAAGTCCCGTATGTACAGGGGAAAAGGTTAGAGTCGACCCTGGAATTAATGGAGCTGATGGGAGGTTGCGGATTAATGGGATATGATAGGTTTTGTACAAGTCGAAATCTACCGGGTTTGCCGGGCTTTGGGACGAGCAATAGCGGGGCTGTCTGAAAATTGCCGATGGCGAGCTTGAGCTCTCGCACTGTGAATGGTCCAATAAAATGTCCTTTCACCATTTTGTTTTCAATGATGTTCTGAAAGACATCCCCGTGCTTGGATATGGTGTTGCTATTGGGAGGTGAGTATGTATGTGTGATTGGGGGTATCCCCCCAGAGAAACCATATGTGAGTCCCTCCGAGATGGATGGGTATCTGCGGAGGAGGTTCGCTTCTGCCAGTAGGCGGTGCCATGCTTCGGGTTTGTAGGGCATGCGGCTCTCAAGCCTTCTCGCCTCGAGGGCATGTCTGAGCCCTGTGCTCCTTGCTTCCGCATCCAGAGCATTTGTGTGAAGACCCATGGTTTTGATCTTGGCAGCTTCCTGGGCGTTGCCACTTGTAGCAGATGGGTATGCCTTGGGGGTTGATGAGGCGCCCGTCTTCTGCTCGGCGGCAGTGGGTGTTGGCTCCATCCCATAGGGAACGAGACTTGCAGCGTCGAATGTCGTGTGAGAAACGGCCGAGGCAGAGGGCGCAGGCAGATAGGCCACGTGAGCCTGCGCCCCAAGAAAAACCCCTCCGGCATTGTTGGCGATTGCGGTTCTTGTCAGGCGACGCTATCTTCTTCTCCTTCTGGTTCTCCATGCCCCAAGGTGGTGAACGTGAACGTGAGTTTCGGTTTGAGAGGTCATGGGTACTGTCGTGCATGTCACGATAGCTGGATTTACGGTATTGGCTCGCTGGTGGGTCTCTGCTCGAACTCTGTAGGTTGGAATGGCGGAGGGCGATCGTCCACGTTATGGTTGTGGGCATCCACAGGGCGTGTGTGGGCATCCGTGCAGACGTAGGCACAGGCATCCGCGTGAGTTATTAATGTGGGCATCCGCGGGAAAGGTCATCGCAGGCATCCATGTAGTTGGTTACAGGCATCCATGGGAGTGTCATCATGGGGATATGGTTGTGATCAGTAGTGGTTTATGATTTTGTTGAGGGATATGCAATTTGGATGGAAAAGGTTTATTTAGTATGTGTTCGTTGTGGGTTTGGAATTGAGTACGTACGTTGTTCCAGGTTCGAGAGCGGACCTTGTCCCACAGTTCCTCATTGATGGTTCGAAGCAGGTTTTCATTGATGTTGCCTATGTTGAAACCTTCGTCCCACTTGAGGCGATCGTGCCAGTCTTGGCGTACTCGCGATGTGTATGTTAGTATGACTAAATCTCCGATGTCGCTGTTGTTCCAAATTGAGTGGTTCTCGAGGTGCCAAAAGAACAGTGAGAGCGCATCGATGTGTGACTGGGGCCACTTTGCTTTGCTGATTTGGACTAGAAATAAGTTCTTCGCCCATAGGAAAATTGAGAAAGGTAGCTCATGGTCTGCGATCACAGCTTTGGATGCTTTGAAAGCCGAGGATGGTCGCAGAGCAAGCTGGTCGTCTACCCTCACGATGCTCAGGTCATTCTCGGCTATGGAGCGTGAGGACCTGAGGGCATCTTTGCATCCATCTGGGGAGAAGTACCATAGTTCTATGTACTCGAAATTAGTGAGCTTCTGTATCGCGTATTGCATGGGATGAGGATTCAGGAAGTCTCCTACGGATGATGCTTCGTCGAATCCATTCATTTTTGGCTTCTTCTTCTCTGCTTCCAAACGTTCCTTCTCTGCTTCGGTCTCGTGTTGCATACGTTCCGCTTCCTCCTGTGCAGCTCGTGCTCTTTCTGCGTCTGCTGCTGCTTGGGCTTCTTCATCGTGGTGTTGGTTCCATTCGGCTACTCTCACATTGTTCCCATCTCTCCATGCTCTTTCTAGTCGTGCTGCGACTTGTTCTTTGGTCTGGTTTGTTGCGGCGGCGAGGTCTTCACGGATGCTGTTGTATAAAACACCGGCGAAGTCTGGCATCACTTCGAGTGTAGGGTCTGCAACCAGAGCCATTATGGGCTTGTCATTGATGGTGGCTTAAGTAGTTCTAGTGGAGTTGTTTTGTTGTGTGAGCGTCTTAGAAGAAAATAAGATTGAGCAGCATGAACTGTGCAGCAACGAAACGATGATCACGGCACGGAAGCAAGAGGATTGGTGCCGCGCCTCTTGTTCGCTACTCTAATCTTTCGCTCATGCCTCATTACATATAGTGCTGCTGTGGTCTGGTTCGGTCCGGTTCAGAGGGTCTTCGACAAGAACTGAGAACCGGACCAATGGTCCAGTTCAGTGAAATCGTCGAACCCAGAACCGGACCATTGAGAACCGTTCTCAATGGTCCAGTTCGGTTTTTTTGCAGTCCGAACTCGAACCGAACCATAAGTTTTTGGTGCACAAAAAAAAACATTGATATTACATCTACAAGACATCAAGTACCTAGCCTAACTACATAATACTAGCTGCATGCCCCTCTGCCTCAACTGCCGCTGACAAGTGTCCATTACGATAGGCTGCCTTCAATAATCGCAGTGTGGAGAAGGTGGATGACGCGAGTGCGTTGCAGCGCAAAGTCATGTGATCCTCTGTCCTCAGCCACGTCTTGGTACCACCTACGATGGGTTACCGGCAATCAATCAGCCTGAGCGCTTTGAACCCAAATGCAGTCTTCGCATCGGGTCGATTATGTGGGAGGAGCCTCACTTCGTGTCCATAGAAATTTGGGTTCAAAGAGAAGGAGAGAATGTTAGTGCGGAGACCTTCTTTTAGTACTTTGTCGATGTTCAGATGGCGCGCTTTGAGTAGCAACGTGGCATACTCAATCTGCTGAAATCAGCTACAACTATAAACTCAAACCTTCAGGTATGAGTCCATGATGAACACGCAAAAACACGAAAGCGGGGGAACTGAGTGGAAATGAGTCCTGCAATCGAAGATGTGAGCAATAGACCAATAAGACAACAGGGAGCAGACCATGCAACAAAAAATCAAGAGTCTGTCTACCTCCTGCGTGTTTGCTTCCTTGCACGTTTTGCTGGCCATTGAGCTTCCTCGCCTTCTGAATCCTCGATGGGCGTGTTGCACCTGGAAGTGAGAGAAAATAAGCCATCCATGCAAGAAAATACGGTCCAAAGTGCCACCCGCAAGCGTTTGCGCCATTGTGGAAGTGGTGAATGGTGGTGGCTGGGAGTGCGCAAAGACGCAGGTGACGTGGCGGGCACTTGTTGTGGTGCCGCGGTTGATGGTCTCAATACCAAGCGACATCAAGAAGTAGGAGGGCATGAAAGATGGGGCGTGGCATGAGACAACAGGTGGGAGAGTGTTAGCACAAGAGAACGGGCACAAGAGGACAGGTACAAGAGAGCAAGCATGAGAAAATGGGCGCAAGATAGCGAGCACAAGCGAAAGAGTTAGAGCGCGCATCAAATTAATTGAAGATGAAGAAGTCACTCGCCTGACACCTCAAACTCAGTGGTTTTGGTTGCCTTGGTCTTTGTCGGCACGTTGATTTTAGGGGTGGAGGCGGTGGTTTCACGGGAGTGGGACGATGGGCTTGCGGGAGGAATTGCACAACGAGACGTGTGGTCTGATTCATCAGTTTAAACAGTGCATATCATGACTTACCTTGTCAATGGGCCTCTGCATTTGATGGAAACAAGTAAATCTTGAAGCTTGAGAATCCCTGAGGCCGAAGTGGATCATCAAAGGAAGGTGTCAAAGCACACTTCAACAATGTGGCAAGCTTCTTTTGGTTCGCGGTTCGGGACGGTTCGGGACCGGTCCAAACCAAAGTCAAACCATTCGCCCAATGCCAGAACCGAGAACCGTACTATGGTCCGGTTCTGGCTGACACCTGGACCATGGACCGAACCACAGGAGAACCGGACCAAAAGTCCGGTTCAAACCATGGTTCAGGACCGGACCACGGCAGCACTAGACAGATGCCAAAGTTGTGTACTGGGAATAGGGCGCAAATGACGAAAGGAGGGTGCTAATCGTTATGTGGGTCAGTAGCGACGAAGGATAGTTGTAAAATAAGACTGGGGACCGTGCTGCTTGCTGACACTGGTGAAGCGAGGTCGTAGTTGCGGTAAGTGTTGATTCGGCAACTTCCAGCATCAAACAATTGGTAATGGGCCCTACACGACTGGTACGAGAGACTCAAGTCCCATGTCAGACAACAGCCTGCTTCTCTGCAAGATTTGCATTGCAAACTTCCAAGTGTATGACTCTCTGCGAGGAACGGCGGAAGATTATAATGCGACCGTACCCACCACGGCCATGGGGGTCAACATTAGCACCATGTCACCACCCCATGGCCTTGTGCGTGTTAATAACATGTTAAAACACACCTTTTTCAACCGACTTTTCGTCCGTACTCTAAGCGGCAGTTGGACTGCATTGCCAATGCAGTGAATGATACAGTTTTGGAATTCACGAGTCCGTAATAGATTCCTTACCCTGGTCGAAGTTAGCGCGACGGCTTTCTCATCTCTTTGAATGACTGGCTCAGTGATGCCAGTATAATCCACTCCTCCACTAATGGAAAATGTAGGTGGAGTCCAGGATCTCCAATAATCTCATCAACCGTGGTGCCGACTGCATTCGCCGGTGTAAACATATGACGGAGCATGCGATAAGCCACGTACAAGACAGCATACTACATATCGAAAGCACCCCAAAGTCATCCCATCTTCACAGGAGCACATGTCTAAAATGGTCGGCGGGAACGGCAGACCGGTGAGGGTGCGCCTCCACCAGGATATTCGTAGCTCCAGAGATGCGACACGGAATACAGGAAGTTCCGTTAGGCTAGCAAATATCGTCCTACATAGAGTATCTCTCAATGGACATAAATGGACACAAAAAATATACGACGGATGCATCTTGAGGTCGTAAATACAGTTTCAGGTGCTCTAGTATATTCTACATCGCATACGTGCAGTACGGACTCATCATGCTCTGTCCGACTGGCCAAAAGAAAAAACGACAACCGTCTATTCGCCGCATTATCTAGATCTGCACACAACGCGATCCATACATCCCTGCTTCAGGGCATCATACAAACAGAATATCAAGTGTCAGAGTAGTGAGGACCGTCATCGATACAAACATGATGATGTACTGGGGTATCAGAAACGCTGCCAAATGCTCAGCATTACCCGTCCCAGAGTACACTTGAGTCAATAACACCTAGTAAACGTTGCTCAATATCATGGTCAACGCCAAGAATAAACAAACACTACCTGCGTGGTCCCAGAAGGCAAACCCGACATGAGGCTAATGCCCAAGGTCAGGTCTCATCCAGCCTCAAACGTTCAAAAAGGGGACGTACATGCAGACAAATCTGAGCACATTGTTGGAGGGATCTATCAGTCCGACACGCGTGAATTGCTGGCAAATAAGGGTGCCAAGCACAGGTATCATGACGAGTCTGCCAATAGCAACACTCCCGATGGCACAGAGAGGGAGAGTACTCCACTGGTTTCGCGGGACGCTTAGTCTGGCGAGAGCAGACCCAAGGATGATCAAACCCATCGGCACGCATGCGCTACCAAGAAAGGTGCACGTCTTCATGATAAGGGCCAGTGGAGGTTGACCATCAGGCGCTGAAGGTATATGGGTGCCTGGAACGCCTGGAACAAAAAGCGCCTTCAATGGAGGAATGATGGCGATGGTGAATGAGAGGATGATCGACAAAGACGGGGGACTCATGGCGGATCGCAAAAATCCCGAGGTCAGATTGATAAACTTGTTGAACCAATGAACATGCGTCACTGCGACGTGCCCAGCGAGCGATTCCGGAAGACTAGTGGTAGATGTGGAGACTTTGTGGGCTTTGTCAGTCAAAACCGGACCGGGCTGTATTGATGTAAACGAGGGAGAAGTAGGCAGTTCTTCATTCGTCGATATCGATACTGCGATTTCTTCCTGCTCCGGTGGTTTATAACACGTGGTGACAGAGTCCTCATGCGTGGATGTCGCATGAGGAGACTCTTTTTCGCCAGTACTATTCTGACCGACTTCGGTATGAACTTCCCTGACCGGTGAATGGCTAAAGAGAAGGATCCGCCTGAGGTAGACAAATCCAGCAGTAAGTCTCGACAGAATCCTCGAGTGTTTGGCGCTCAGCCTCTCCTTGACTCGATCATTGTCCAAGTCAGGACCATCGAAATCCATTATAATCAACCGGTATGCGCCAAGAGGAAACAGCGTGATCTGCGGATGTTGTAGTGAATGGAGGTAATTGCATAACCGATATACTTACGTAGAACACCAGCATAAAAACAGCGATGTAGCCTACTGCCAGGTTCTCATCATTAGTTCCATTGAAAGGAGCTGACGCCGTTACGCTCAGGGCCACAGAGATAGCTATACACCAAGTATCAGACAGAATGTCTTCGGTTTTCGGCGAGCTTACGTATATCACCGATATTCGCCCATCCTCCAGCCATTAGAATTCCATACCGAAATCTGTGAGGAACCCAAAAGAGTTGCTTGATGATCCACGACAGCGTTATACCGATCAGCATATATATCACTGCAATGATAACAAGAGGGCCTAGAAACAACTTCGGTCAAAAAAGACGTAAAAAAGCACAAAATCGCACCGAGTTCGGCAATGTTTGATGAATGGAACGATGGTATGATCGTCGAGAACATCAGGCTTGGAACCATAACATTCTGCAATCGATCAGTTGTGCATCTTCGCCTCACCTCAAAAAAAAACCTTACTATGATAACTTGCCCCATCCCGCGAGATGCCATGGCGGGTAACAAGCCTGCCTTCGTGATTCCGAATCCGCATGCTACGCACAAGAACCTCAACGAGCGTGAAAAAAGCGCAAGGAAAACTTAGAAAAGAATCCTTACATGCGTATGAGCGGTTGGACAGAAATCCAAAGCAAGTTACCGAAGACGATGCTGCCCATGATTGGATGAGTCGCGAGTTGTGATAATATCCCAACGAGTCGAAGGAGCCTGCTCAGAGACAGTTCGTCTTGGATTCAGATGGGGGAATGAAAAGGAGAGTTCGATCTTTCTTTTAACCATGGAAAATATGATACTTAAATGCAAGTATGGCAAGTGCTTCCCTGTCTTTGCTGGCAGTTATAGACATAAGACTGGGTAGGATGCCATGAGTTCGTAGCCTGAGATGCGGTCCACCGGTCCGCTCGTATGTCGGTGTCATGTCGACGAGCGAAGTCGATAGCTTGTATTGAATGCTTTAATTTAAATCAGTATCCAGTGCCACTGATAAGCTGCACGAATGAAAACCCTGAGCAAGGGTCAATATATCTTGGCAAAATGCTGCTACAATTCAGTCCTGAATCAAATTTCGAACCCGACTTTTTGCGAAATGAAGTGCCGTTCGGTTGGAGGTTCGACACGGAACGCAGAGCCAGACCACATCTAGGTTGACCATTCGAGCTGTATCTGATGGCCGTTCGGACCAGTCCGAACCATTCTCACATTGAAAGCTTATTAGTCGATGCTTTTGTTCTGTGAGCACTGAGAATCAGTGATCGCCGTGATAAAACTAACAAAAAGGTCACCTCTTGACATGATCAAACTTGAAATCGAATGCTCAGCGTTGGTGAGACCGCTGCTGCAGTCGGTGGCTTCCAACGTTTATTAGTTGCAGAATATACGTGCAAAGCTTTTCGTTTTGGTCTTATGTAAATTGTCAGCGAAGGATAAAAGGGTCAGGTCTCGGGCGTCCAATGTCGCTTCATAGTACTGCGTATCGTCAAGGCCATCTCTCCGCGATAGTACAGGCTGAGCTCGCCGCTCCTGGTCCGAACCAACCTGAACCTGACCGTTGTGAACCCGTTCGAAGCAGTCCGGCCCAGACTCTACCGAGCTCGACCAGGAAGCCCTGAGCAAGGTCCATTTGTGTCAGAACATGCTTGTGTCAGGGTCACCTGCAATTAATTCCTCAGCGCACAAAAGAGGCAGTTTAAAAGGCCAAGATCTCACCTGGGTCAATGCTAGGGGTAAACACGATGCGAAACTGTAACACGACGGCACAGTCAGCTAAAAGCAGATGCAACGCATAACAAATCACATGAACAAGTCTGAGTACTTCATTTTCAACGTGCACGAACCCTATGCAAGTGAATGCTTCGCCGATGAGGATTCCGATCACTGGCATGATAAGTTGTTTGCCAACAGCAAGAGGTCCAATGGCCTCAAGGAGCGATATTGAAATAATTCGTTCAGGGTTGTATCGCTGGCGAAAAGGAAACCTCCGGATGAATTGGCACGCGTGAACCGAAAATGCGACGTCCGGAGATGACATGAAAATATGAGAGGGTTTGGGGGTTGTAAATATTTGGGAGTCGTGCTCTAGTGTCGTAGGCGCCGAATGGTGATCATGTATCTGCCGTTTGCCCGCTCATTAAGTAATGAGCACTGATCATCTGCAACGTGATACTTTAATCTCCGGTGTGCCAGCTACGATGTTCCTTTACCAAGAATCCTGATTGTGCAGTGAAGCAAACGGCAGGAATGTGATCCGCGACTAAGATGTCGATGGACTGGTGTCCCGAGAAGCTGGGCCGAATCCTCATGCGCGGAACCGGCTCGGAAGCGATCAACCGGAGCTCCACTCTATTAATTCGTGCAACCGAGCGGTAGCGCCCGAGCAGCACTGCATGTGCAACAAACCGCAATTGACAGTATTCATTCACTCTCTGTAAAGTCACGGTGCACCAGACATTTTAGGGTTCGATTTCCTCAGTCGAGTTAAACGTTTCCCAGTCACAGTATGGCTTATAGGTGTGATTTGAAACGGGTCGCAAATGGAATTGTTGTGGATTGGCAGGCCAGCCAGATAGAGAGGCAACGGGAGGCAATGGACCTGAGCTCCGGTATCCGGTATTTCGACGAATTGCTCGCCACAGAAGTGTGCTCGACGTCAAACGGACGTCTTTTCACCACCTGGGAACAGCATTGCCGATGGCGAGGACCGGATGTAGCCTCTTCCGCTGTCGATCGGTTGCATGTCTGGGTGGGTAGGGTTGCTCGGACTCAGAATGGTAGACAAAACCCATCCACCACCAACGTTGCCCTGTCGCCGATCCGTCCCACTGGGCGGTTGGAACTCACATGGAGGCCACGCAAATTGCTTCTGCAAAATCAACTGTGTGGTAGAGAGCATCATGGTGATGTACCGGTGAGTCACTGGCCAATGACTCAACTCACTTACGTAGGAGCAATGCTGATGCTGTAAAATGGGCGTAGCAGACAAGACAGTGTGAGAGAGATAGTGAATATAAGGCAGCTACTTGTAGACTCGGACCATGAGCCAAACTGCGATCGCGACAGCAAATATTGTTTAGCAATGCGGATAAAACCTTGTTACCTTTTGAAACAACCGGGAGCGCGTTAAGCCGTGAGAATTATAGATTTTGCTCCTACTTCGGGTCAGTTCTAGTGCCCTCTAGGTTGTGTAGACTATGAACGACATTCCCAACGACAACATCAATATTTATGACTTCGTCCCATCCGTCATCGCGTCATCGGTCATTCGAGTCCTCGTCGTTGTAATTATGTAATAACTTCAACCTCTTCTAGAATAGCTGATGGTATTATTCAACATGATCAAACTCGTCAAAATCAAAGCATTTCCCTTGAGCACTTCGACTCTGTTAATATTCTGACTTTCTTCAGTCCTCTTTAACTCGTCAAGAGCCACGAATTCAGCAGCAACATCCTCAGGCAAGATAATTTCTGGACTATTATGAATCACGAGGCTCGGTCGAGAGAGGTGTCCACGCGAAGGATGCTTCAGGATTCTACGCAGTCTCAACAGCAATGCCAACTTCTTCAAGTTCACGAGTGTGCATGTGGACTGGGTGGACTTCCCAGCCTCCACGGCTTTTACAGCGCTGTGTCAAAGGTGTGCACGTGCGCTCTATTTCACCTACAATTAAGAGGATCGTCACGGCAAAGACCGGGCGCTCCCCAGCATACACCATCTTATTTCAGGGATATCGGTTTTTTATACTCTGTTGAATTCAAAATGTTATAAGATCTAAATCACATTTCTGCAGGCTTCCAATACAATATCGGTCAACATGGAATCAATCATCACGTCTTATTCGGAGGATGAGCAAACCAGCCAATGACCACCATCACCGAAAGAGAACTCACAAGCTTCATCCAAATTGCCTCCACGATATTCCTCGGGAGCACGTCTGGATGCCTGTAACAAGCATCTCAGCCTGGCTTATACTTCACAAGCAAATAAAAGAGTCCCACGTCATTGCCTCGATTTCTGCGATGCCAGAATGGAAGTCCATTTCGTTCGGCTTGACAATAGGGACTCGCTTCCAGATTTTGGCGCCAACATATAAAACGGGGAAAAGCATCATGGGCAGATAATTTGTCATGAAAGTTGCTGTTGACCAGTTATCTCTCAGGAATACCTCCCATGCGCTGAACTGGCCCAAGAATCACTTCGTTATATCGCATATGCGAAACTTAAACTCACCAACAACGTCACAAGCGATGCGCCGATGGCCCACCAGGCGGCGAAGGGCTGAAATCGAGAGGAGTACGGGAGCTCACTCATCTTGTGCCCCTGCGCGAGGAAGCCTTTGCGGAAGCGCAGATAAATGACACCGATGCCGAACCAGGTCGTGAGACCCGCAGTGGCACACATGCTAGAGAACCACGTGAACACCATTCCGGAACTCGTGTTGACCGCCATGTAGGCGAGGAGAGAGAAAGAAGCACACATGGCTACTGCAACGTAGGGAAGCCCAGACCGCGAGGTACGAAGGAATACCTTTGGGGCATTGCCGGAGGCGGCGAGGCCATCTGCAAGCAGATTAATTTGGATACAGTACTGTAAACATACTGAAGCTCACGCAGGCCTCTGGAGGAAATGTAAAGGTTACTGGAAGCCGCGGACCAGGCTGATGTCAGTAAGGCGGCGTTGATCACCTGAAGAAGCATGAGCAATGCATTATTGTATAACGCAACACTTACCGAGGGTAATCCTTTGATGCCAGCTTGGTTAATTGCAATTACAAACGGAGACGCAGAAGCATTATCAGAGTTTACGTTCAGTAAGGGGTTGTTCGAAGGTACCAGGAGACCGATAACAAATACGCCGCCAATATAAAATAGTAGGATCCGGATATAAACACGACGGATGGCCTTGGGGAGATTCTTGCGCGGGTTCTTGGATTCTGCAGCCGCCATCTGGTCTGTTTCAACCTCAAAAGACCCAAGGGAGAGCGTCACGACTCACAGCCACGACTTCTAACCCAGAATATGCGAATGCAGCTTGCGTTACTGCACGAGACCAGCCTAGAAACCGACCTGTCATGCCACTTATGCCATAAAATTGGACGAATGGGCCAGGGTCCTTCCAGTAGCGAAATCCGATACGATCATGGTTCGGGCCACCGCCAAGGTCAAGGATGATCCCGAAGATGATGAGACCAACAATCGTAACAACCTTGATAGAGCTGGTTCGCCCCTGGCGTCAGGCAAAGAAAAGAATTTAGGGGGAAGATAACCCTACGCGAATATAAACTCGGTTTCACCATACACACCTACAGTGAAAATTGAACTAGAAAAGAGGCCAAATAGTGTGAACATTTACCAACGCCACTCATGTTAATCCCGATGGCAACAACGAGACACATTGTTATCCATACTGCGTTGTTTACACCAGGATGCCAGAAATTTATGATGGTAGCGGCTGCGGACAACTCGGCTTGGATATAATCAACGGCATTCGTTGGGAGATGATTCGGAGACTGTACCTGGCAATGTTACCTGACGGGAGAGTAACATTCAGAAACTTGAAACATCAAGCAAAGGGTCACATTACCGTCCAATTGTACCATAGATTCCATCCCAATGCAAATGAGAATGCTGGATCAACAAAGCGCTCGGCAAGCTTGATATGACCACCGGCAATTGGGAGATAGGAGATCATCTCTCCGATGGTGATCTAGTAACAA